CCGTTTAAGGAATAACTTTGTTGGGAATTACCCGATCTCTTTTCTCCCTTAAATAACAACTTTATTGGGAATTCCCTGAGCTGCTTTTCCCTCTTTTAAGGAGTAACTTTATTGGGAATTCCCTGCTCTCCTTTCCCCCGCCCCCGGCTGCGTTTGACCCCTTTAAGGAATAACTTTGTTGGGAATTCCCTCCCTGTGCCGCAGCTGGAGCCGGGATGGGCACAAGCTGGTCAGTGCCTCCACTGACAACATCGTGTCGCAGTGGGATGTGCTGTCCGGGGACTGTGACCAGAGGTTCCGCTTCCCCTCGCCCATCCTCAAAGTCCAGTACCACCCCCGGGACCAGTAAGTGCCCTGGGAGCAAACTGGGATTACCCAGGACCGGGGCTTGTTTGGATTTTCCAAGTTGGAATCGTTGGGTTTGGAGGGGGGGGGGGGTGTGTTTGGGGTTGAGTTTTTGGGAGGATCAAGGTGGGAGGAAGTTCTTGGAAACTCTTGGGAATCGGTGTGGAAATGTCTGCTGGGGTTTAAAATTTTAAAATTCCTGCACAGACTCGGAGATGGAAAGGAAATTAAAGTAGGCCTGAACTTCACATCATTTTGTTGTCTAAGCATCAAAAACAAGACAACAAAAGTAGAGATCTCCCGAATTCCTCAATCCAACCTGGTCCTTTTTACTCCAAACCTGGAAATCCTTTCCAAGGTATCCTGGATTCCTCAATCCACCTCAATGCTTTTTTTGGTGGAAACATGGAAATCCTTTCCAAGATCTGAATTCCTCAACCAGCTCAATGCTTTTTTTTTGCTGTAAATGTGGAAATCTTTTTCCAACATCTCCTGAATTCCTTGGTCCGGCTCAATGCTTTTTTTTTGCTGTAAACATGGAAATCTTTTTCCAACATCTCCTGCATTCCTCAATCCATCTCAATGCCTTTTTTTTTTGCTCTGAACCAGTAAATATTTTTCCAAGCTCTCATGAATTCCTCAGTCCATCTCAATGGATTTTTTCCTCCAAATCTGGAAATCCTTTTCCAAAATCTCCTGAATCCCTCAATCCATCTCAATGGTTTTTTTTTTGCTCTGAAGGTAAAAATTCTTTTCCACGATCTGAATTCCTCGATCCATCTCGATGCCGTTTTTGCTCTGAACGTGGGACTCCTTTCCAAAGGCAGGAATTCCCAGATGTTCCCTGTGCCCTGCAGGAACAGGGTGCTGGTGTGTCCCATGAAGTCAGCCCCGGTGATGCTGACCCTGTCAGACTCCAAGCACGTGGTGCTGCCCGTGGACGACGACTCCGACCTCAACGTGGTGGCGTCGTTTGACCGGCGAGGGGAATACATCTACACCGGGAACGCCAAGGGCAAGGTCAGCCCGGCCCCCTCGGGCCTCTCAGCATTCCTGCCTGGCACCAGGGCACTGCCAGGCTGGGCAGCACTGGGAATTTTCCTCGTGGAAAAGAGCGAGGGGGGGGGTGTCAGGCTTTGGAAGTGCCCGGGGAGCGCTGGGATCTCCGTCCCTGGAGGTGTCCGAGGAATTCCTGGAGGTGGCACTGAGTGCTTGGGGGGGAGTTTGGGGGAACAGGGACGGGTGTGGGGCACAGGGAAGGCACAGGAAGGGGTTTGGGGGAGAGGTGAGTGGAACAGGAATGGATTCGGGGAAGAGGGATGGGTTTAGGGAGCAGGTGAGGGCACAGGAATTGGTTTTGGGAACAGGGATGGGTTTGGGGAATCAGGAATAGATTTGAGGAAGAGGTGAGTGACACAGGGATGGGTTTGAGGAACAGGAATGGATTTGAGGAAGAGGTGAGTGGTACAGGGATGGGTTTGGGGCACAGGAATAGATTTGGGGCACAGGGATGAGTTTGGGAAGAGGTGAGGGGCACAGGGATGGGTTTGGGGAGCAGGGACAGGTACAGAGATGGCTGCAGGGTTTGGGGAACAGTTGAGGGATTGCTTGATGATCCTGAAGTGGTTTTCCAACCTCAGGGGTTCTGGGATCTTTGCCTGGCTTTGTTTCTGACACATTTTTGGGCTGTTTTCCTGGCGTTTCTGTCTCAGCAGCTCCTGCAGTGTCCCCAGGTGGGCTCCCAGGGTGCTGTTTCAGGTGAAGCCACTGATTGTTCTCTGTCTGCTCAATCTTCAGATCTTGGTCTTAAAAACAGACACTCAGGATCTTGTTGCTTCCTTCAGAGTGACCACAGGGACCAGCAACACCACGGCCATTAAATCCATCGAGTTCGCCCGCAAAGGGAGGTGAGCACTGCCGGGGACGATCCCAAAACTGCAGAGAGCTCCTCAAACCCCACAGATCTTCCACAGGACAGCAATTCTGAGCAGTTCCTCAGTGATTTGTCCCCGTTTTCCTGCAGCTGCTTCCTGATCAACACGGCCGACCGCATCATCCGCGTGTACGACGGGCGCGAGATCCTGACCTGCGGCCGCGACGGCGAGCCCGAGCCCATGCAGAAACTGCAGGACCTGGTCAACAGGTCAGGGGACAGCAGGGGGGACAGGGGACAGGGGAGGGGACGGGGACAGCAGGGGGGACAGGGGAGGGGACGTGGGAGGGGACTGGGACAGCAGAGGGGATGGGGACGGCAGAGGGGACAAGGGACAGGAGAGGGGACGGGGACAGGAGCGAGGACAGGGGAGGGGGACGGGGACAGGAGAGGGGACAGGGGAGGGGACAGGGAACAGGAGAGGGGACAGGGACAGGAGAGGGGACAGGGGAGGGGACAGGGACAGTACTGGGGACAGCGACAACGGAGGGGACGGGGACAGGAGCAAGGACAGGGGAGGGGGACAGACAGGAGAGGGGACAGCAACGGGGACAGGGGCAGCAGAGGTGATGGGGACAGGGGACAAGAGAAGGGACAGAGACAGGAGAGGGGATGGGGACAGGGGAGGGGCACAGGAACAGGAGAGGGGCACAGGGATGGATTTGGGGAGCAGGTGAGGGGCACAGGGATGGATTTAGGCAACAGGGACAGGCACAGGGATGGCTGCAGGATTGGGGATCAGGTGAGGGGCACAGGGAGGGATTTAGGGAACAGGTGAGGGGCACAGGGAGGGATTTAGGGAACAGGTGAGGGGCACAGGGAGGGATTTAGGGAACAGGTGAGGGGCACAGGGGTGGCTGCTCCTTTCGCCTGGGTGCTCAGCCACTGGCAAAGGCTCCCCAGGGAATTGCCAGACCCCGAAGGCTGTGGGGGTTTGGACAACGCCCTCAGGGATGCACTGAGGGGGATTTTGGGAATCTGTGCAGGGCTGGGGGTTGGATCAATGATCCTGCTGGATCCTTTTCCATTTGGGAATTCCCTGTGGGACATCCTGTGTGGCTGGGGTGTGACCTCCCACGACACAAATCCTCACTCAGCATTTACCACCTCAAACCCTAAACACAGAGGTGAAAAAAAAAAAAACAAAAAACCCCATCAGGAACACCCAAACCCTGCTTCCCTGATGCACGATTTTGCCCTGGCTGCAGGACCCCCTGGAAGAAATGCTGCTTCTCAGGGGATGGCGAGTACATCGTGGCTGGCTCTGCCCGGCAGCACGCGCTCTACATCTGGGAGAAGAGCATCGGCAACCTGGTGAAAATCCTGCATGGAACCCGTGGAGAGCTCCTGCTGGACGTGGCAGTGAGGAAACTCCCAGCCCCTGGCATTCCCTGGCATTTGGGGAATTCAGCTGGCACATTTTGCTAATTCAGGTTTTTTTTTTTATATTTTTATTTTTTTTGTTGTTGTTGTTTTTTTTTTTTTTCTCCTTTTTAATTCCAGTGGCATCCGGTCCGGCCCATCATCGCCTCCATTTCCAGCGGGGTGGTTTCCATATGGGCTCAGAACCAGGTGGTGAGTGAGATTTTAATTTTATTTTTATTTTTTTTTGGGATTCTTCCCTTTGGGGATCATTCTTGGCATGGGGAAATTTTGGCTGCTCCATCCCTGGAAGTGTCCCAGGCCAGGGCTGGAGCAATCTGGGACAGGGAGAAGTTTGGAGCTGATGATCCTTTCCAACCCAAACC